TGCGTTGTGATTGGCCGAATACCTCAAGCGTGAGACGAAATGTTACGTCCCTCACATACTGTGATGCTTTGTCCCGGCCGGAGCGACGAGACAAAAACATTCAAACCCATTACAAACGAGGCATTTGTTGCATCCAGTGGAGACATAATTACTGATTATAATTACTTATACTGTCTTTTTACGAGTTGCGTTGCATTGCATCGCGCCGCGTAAACATAAAACTCTGTCTGCATTTGTGATTGGAGAAATGACAAACAACAAGTGCTACTCTACTGCCCAAAACTCGCATTTGAATCATCAGTGGCAACGAAAAACACAGCAGCCTAGCGTGAGGGGAAGCCCCGGCTTAGCGTGCGCTGAGGCCGGGATAGAGTGAGCTGAGGCGGGCTGGACTCCGCTTCGTCCACGGTGAACGTTGATGTTTTCCCTCAGCGACCCGCACGGATCAGCTCTAGGCATGACGAAGCGGATATTGTCCTCTTTTGGAAGACCAAACAAAGTAGTTTCGCTTTCACAACAAAACACAGTGTCTTCACGACATGGCGGCGGCGGCAACAACAATACTACAGTGAGAATAAAAGTTACGCCTTCTTTCTTTGCGTGAACATTTGGACGGGGTTATGCAAACCTTCCCACATCGTGACGTAGACATGTGGGGGCATGTTAGAACGAGCCGTTTTAGGAGGGCGTGACTTTTATAAAGAATATCTCTTTGGATTTGAGACTTTAGTGTTTGCAACTTTACAGATCTTCTTTTTGCACCAAGAGCTTGTAACACTCCAAAGAGAAAGGAAAATTTGAAATCGCATCATATGACCCCTTTAAAGTTTATTTTATTTCACGTACCATTTTTTTATGGTTTTAGCTTTAAGACATCTTTACACAGCCGTGTTAAGGTTATTATGTGCCTCTCAAAATTCTATGTAAAAGCTTAAAAGCCAGACTAAATTAAGCCTTCTCTGACCCACCTCAGCCACTAGTATCAAAGAATACAGTTGTATTTGTATGTGTAAATGCATTCATGCCACCTCTGAGCAGCATTAAACCGTCTGTGTAAAGACATCTAAATGCCATAGAAGTGCTTCTGTGCCACCTTTGCAGTGTAAATTTGGCATTAGTTCACTATAATAGCCTGTTTCATATTCTGTCTTTCTCAGAATTGTGAAATGTGATTTTCTTTCTTCAGTGGAACACAAAAGGAGAAGCCTTGAATAATGTTCACGTTTCTGCCAGTGCCAAAAATTCTCATTAGCACTTTTTTCAGTCTTACTTAAAGCTCTCTCTGTGTGGAATAATCTGACTGTTATCAACAATACAACATTAAAGCATCACAGAGTATTACAGTCATGTAGTGCAGCATATCGAAACGTGACTAAAGTGTTGTGGTAATACTGTATGACAGTGTCTTCTCTCTCATTGGTCTTCTGAAGGCTGGGTTAATCTTTGAACAGGTGGAGATGTCCCATGTAAATGCATGAAACACTTCAGTCGTTTGAAGCGGCCACTCTTATTGTGAATGTGCTGGTTTTATCTTATGAAGGGTAAAGGCAGGGCTGTACTGTGAATATTAGATGTGCTCTGTGTGCTTGTGTCTGTGATCCCTGCAGGTTTTGAGGGCAGGGTTTAGAAACACTCCCGTGGGCTTAAAGCAGTCTTACTGCAGGAGTGGTGTAATCTTATTACCCGCTGTTAGTCAATGACTGTCTTTGTGATGACGGTTTCAGCTTGGACCTTATTACCTAAAAATATAGCAGCGTCAAAATTGACTGAGAAGGGAATGAGAAGGACGAGCAAGAGAGTTTGAGGAATATGATTCTTATGTGTTCCCATGAACAAAGCTTGTAACTTATTGGTCGTTGAGTTTTGTCCTCGATTACAGAATGGGTCAGTGGCATGACACTTTTTTTTCTCTCAGATTTGTTTATTTATCAGTAAACACATTAAATATGGAATGAATATGAACCTTGACTTGTTTAATTAAATAAAAAATCAGATTTTTTTTGAGGGGGTAATAGACATGTCAAGGTCATATATCTAGTCTAATATAATGAAGAAATCCTCATTAAAAATGTTTTATTCTAGAATAGAAAACCTTAAGTAGTTTAGCATAGGGGTGTAATGGTACACAAGCATGACAGTTCGGTACGTACCTTTGACGTCATGGTTCGGTATGGTTTACGTACAGAAGGTGAAGAAAAACTCTTTTTTTTTTTTGACAATGGATTACTGAACAAATTGCTCTTTCCTTAAAGCTGCAGTCCTTAACTTTTTTTTTTTTTTTTTTTGGTTAAAAATGATCCAAAATCATTATTTGAGCAAGTGCATAAACAGCCAGTGTTCAAAACTATCTCCTTACTTTAGCCCGATTCACAACTGTTATCTTATAATAATGTTTTCTAATTTGAGTGGTACGGGTAGGTTTTTGCGGGAAATTCGAGCATGCTGCTGCGTCATTACGTCCGTAAACATAAAGTTGTCCCGGCTACTAGGCTATCGCATGTGAGGATCCTGCAGGTGGCCGATTGTTTATAGCCTTTTCTCACAGCAGCTGGAATAATTAAATGTACCATTTTGATGGTGGCTTGTAATCCAGAAGGGATTATGTGTTTATGAAATACATGTGACTAAATTATATTCCAGTTTTAAATGTGCATCTGATTACAGATAGCCTGGGATTACACAAGTTTTTGTATTTTAAAGACAACCAGTTCGAAGAAAGAATCATTTGCTTTTTGGATTAAAATAATTTCTTTATATGAATTTCGAATGGTATGACAACTAGAGATTAGACTGTACAGAACTTGAAATCTACATGCTAATACACACTACATACATGTAGTCACGCAATGCTGATGTTGTTAACATTAACAATTTGAGAACGACCGAAATTAGGAGATATATTGTGATATAAATGTTGGCCATATCGTCCAGCCCTAATTCTGTCTGAATTTCCTGAAAAAATTGAACGATTTGTTCGGTACACATGCGTACCGAACCGAAAGACTTGTACTGAAAATTTTCTGTACGAATACGTGTACACATCTAGTTTAGCATAATCTTTTAGTTATTTTATTTAATTTTGTTTTATTTTAGGTTTAATGGTTACACCACATGACATTTTGGGTCATTAAATTCCAACTGGTGTAAAAAAAATTCTATGTGAAACTGACATAAATACGAAGAGTACGTTTCTTTCTTGGTATATGTATTTTTTTCACTACGTACCGAACCGAAAGACTTGTACCGAAAATTTTCTGTACGAATACGTGTACCGTTACACATCTAGTTTAGCATAATCTTTTAGTTATTTTATTTAATTTTGTTTTATTTTAGGTTTAATGGTTACACCACATGACATTTTGGGTCATTAAATTCCAACTGGTGTAAAAAAAATTCTATGTGAAACTGACATAAATACGAAGAGTACGTTTCTTTCTTGGTATATGTATTTTTTTCACTAGTTCTTTCGTTTTTTTTCCCACTTTTATTTATCGTGGATTCTCTTTGACTCTTTAACGCCTAAACCACCTAACCAATCAGTGGTTGTTTTGTCTTGTGTAGGTTCACTAAGAACCTCTCCCCGGATAAGATCAACCTGAGCACGCTGAAGGGAGAGGGGCAGCTGTCCAACCTGGAGCTGGACGAGGAGGTCCTGCAGAACATGCTGGATCTGCCCACCTGGCTGGCTGTCACCCGCGTCTACTGCAACAAGGCTGCTATACGGGTAGGATGGAGAGAGCCTGAAGCAACTTTTATTAATATGCTAAAGAGCGTGAAGAGTTTATAGGAAATTGTCACAAAGATATTTAAACAAATTCATTGTCATTTTAATGTGTGTGTTTTTTTTCTGTGTCAGATACAATGGACAAAGCTGAAGACCAGTCCCATATGTTTGGTAAGAATCTCCCCATCAATGTGTTTCCACTCTTGCGTCATTTCTGTCACACTCTGTCATCCCACTCTTTATCACTTGATCTCCTGTCCTTTTTCACTTCTGCAAAAGTACCCTTATTTAGTAGTGTGCTTCTCACTCAATTGCTACAGTGTCTGATAAGGTGGGTCCTATAGAGTCCAACAGTGACTGCAGGCTTTTTGTCAGTGGCCTGGTCTACAGCTTAAAGTGAAGGTGAAGTGACGTGTGGCCAAGTATGGGGAACCACTACGCAAATGCCATCCATCCATTAAATATAATTATTAAAAAATGAAGTTTCACTTTTTGTGTTCTGGTCCATTTTGACCCGGGTATTATGTGAGGCTTAAACATGATCTTATGCAGATGTTACTTACATGAGTTTCAGTAGATTTTTGTAAAGTATATTTAGCCTTTTTTTCCCATATCTTACACATGCACTTTTTGGGTCTATATTTTGTGGATAAAAATGAATATGCATGCCTATTGATGAACACAGAAAATTGATCAACTTTTTCAAGTTAAAGTGAAAGTTAATGCAAGTAAATTGAATTTATTTAGTTTGAACATTCAGGAGTGATGATGTTTTGTTATAAAATTAATATTTATTCATTCATCCATACTGGTTATTCCCAGATTATATGTTCTTATACATTTCTTATGATGATGTTTGCAAATATACATTCTCTTGATTACTTAAAAAATTTAGTTTCTGCATGTCAGTGGTTCTTCTGTAGATCGTGTAAACTTTTAAAGAATTTCTTCATTTAAAAATCATTTCTAATAAAACATAGGTAAATGTAGTAATAACACGATAACATTCAAAACTTTGAGATGAGAAATTATTTATCAGATACAATAGTTTTTAGTTTAAAAATATTAAGTAATGACTGTTTTATATGCTTGTGTTTTGCTAAATTTGTGTGCAGATTTTGAATGCATTATGATGGTTAATGCTCTACCACTAAACATCCCATATTAACTAACATTAGATTGTTATCCAGTTAAAGTTAGCTAATGTTATCTAGATTCCTAGAACTTGCCACTCTGGAGATTGCTGGGCGATTCATATTTCCATATTCCATAGATCATTTATGGCTTGAGCAGTGTAGTTCATCATAAAGTAGTGACTGACAGCATCAGAAGTTCTGACCTACTAAATTCTGCCTGAACTCTGTTTCCTGTCCTTCTGCAGTTCCTGGATAAAGTAGAAGTTGAAATGAGGACCTGTGAGGAACCCCGACCCCCAAACGGCCCCTCTCCGATTGCCATTACTGCAGGCCAAAGGTCAGAATGATCTGCAGTTGCCTTTTTTATAGTAAAGGATCCACAATGCATACAGAGAGTGGCGAAACCTTCATTATGCACATTAACATTTAGATTCATTAGTGGTACTTGCTAAGTCAAGCATCAATACTGTTATTTGTTCAAACACTTAATGCCAAGTACTGGCAGAGTAAAACATATCGCACGATTTGTACTACAAACAAACGATTCCTCAAATGGTGACCATAAATTAGATCCGTAGGCTGTGAAGGGAAACATAAGGCAGAATATCATTAGAATATTGAAGTCTTTAGAATATTGAATGTCCCCTTGAAAAGTCTTCCATTTGGTTTTATCAAATTTAAGGTAAAAAGTCTTGAATATCTCAAAAAGTCTTAAATGTAGGAACAGGAAAAGAGGAATTGTGAAATGGTTTAATGTGATTATTAAACTTAAAAAGCCGATGAATGGATTAAATGTTAGTGCTGCATGTTCCAGAGTAAAAATGTGGCACTGTTGGACATTCAAGCTAAATGATTGCTTATGAACTGCTATTGATGAAATTTTTATTTTCTTTTGATTAATATTTTTTATCATCATTTTGAATTCTCATTTTTATTAAAATGGTTTATAAGCTGAAATGTGAAATGTGTTTATCATTTCATAAAACTTTTGTTTTTGGCAACCAAAAAAAAAAAAAAAGCCCCATCAAATTATATGGGCTGTAATTCAATTGCTTGAATTGTCATTTTTACAGTAATTTTACAGTTCATCATAGACATTATCGTACTCCCCCTCCCTAACCTCCCCCCATATGGTATTATTTTTATATGTGCAGGTCTTGAAAAGCCTTAAATTTGATTTTAAAACCCCTGCAGATACCCTGGAATGTTCTTCGGAATATCAGGAACAACCTAGAATGTTCTAAAAACACCTTGAAACTAACATCTCAGTCACCCTAAGCAATTTTGTAACTCTATTGTGTTGAGTTTTGTCATTTTAAAAATGTTAAAATCTAATTTAATTTAATTTTGTTTTACTTTGACCTGGTAAAACTTTACCATCTTGACTATTATTTTGTCTATAGTATTTATTGATTTTTTTATATTTTAATTTTACATTTGATTTTTTTTTTTTTTTTTTTTATATTTAGTTTATATTATTTTTGTTGTTTTTTTATGTTTAGATTTCATTTATTTTTATTTCAGTTTTAGTTTTAGTAATTGCAGTACTTCAAAATGTTTCCAAGGCAAAATTTCTGATTTCAGTTTTACAATAGCAACACTGGATTGAACGTCAGATCCAGTCTGTGTAATGCATGTTTGCGGTCTGTTTCTTGTCTCTGCAGTGAGTATGGCTTTGCTGAGAAGGTCGTGGAGGGAATGTCTGTGATCATCAACTCCATCACGATTAAAGTTCAGGCCCGAGCGTTTCACGCCTCCTTTGAGCTTTGGCAGCTCCAGGGCTGCAGCCTCAATCCCAAATGGCAGAAGAGCGACCTGCGCTACACGCGCATTACACATCCAAAGAGAGGAGAGGTACAGTACAGACATACACCACAGTACCTGTTTCGAAAGTGCTATACAACAGTAAAAGCAGGTTTATGCTTCAGTGTACATGGTGTGGGCCGTCCTGCAACACTGACCGCTCAATTTGAAGCGTCTGACTCCTGCTGGAAGAAACAGCCGAGGTTATCAACACTTGCCACATTTACCTTGAAGAAGTGCAAAAATGTGGCTTTGTGGCATTACAAGGGATCACCCAGAGGTGAAACCCAGGGTGAAGCACCTTTAACTGTCCGTTTCTTCATTTTAAGGAGCAAGTGAATCATTATGGAGAAAAATAGCAATGGTTACATAATCCAAAAGGGGACAAAGGGCGGTACCGTCATAGTGCAGAGATCAACGGCTGTCAGATCAAAGTGTTTCTACACTTCACTTCTCCTCCTCTTGTTCCTCTTTCACTTGCTTTTCTTCGCTCACAGAAGCACATGCTCATGAAAAGTCCCCGCTTAATTACTTTTCCAGATGGCCATTAGATAATGAAATCAATCATTTTGTTATATGAAGAGTATATTCGGGTTGCCAGATCTTCTAAACCAGCCTTTCCTAAGCAATAATGCAGTTAGATGTAAGATGAATGTTGACCTCTCATGCTCTCTCAATAAAGAGCTCTGTCTGCTTCTGCTCGCCCGCGGCCATCAGGGTCACGCCGCCCGCTGAAGCACAACGTCGATAGACGAGATGGAGTCAGTGGAGTTCAAAGCAGAATGCTTCTGCAGTCAACATGCTATCAAACTGACACAAACACAATGTTTTAGTTGTTCAGCTAGGCTACATGATTTAAAAGTATAATAAATAATAATAAAAATTGTGATTTGGCTGCAATTAACAAATGTGATACTGCATCACTAATTTCAACAGATTTGCATTTATAAACCTGTTACCAACAAAGGAGAAGCTTTAAGCAGTCACCCCATAATAAAAGTTTAAGATGTAAATTAGGGCTGAAAAACGATTAATCACGATTAATTGATTCGGAATAAAAGTACTGTGTATGTTTATTATGTATATATAAATACACGCACATATATGTATATATTTTAAAAATATTTGTATGTATTGTATGTGTTTGTATGTAAATATTTTATAATTTAAATTATATATAAATCTCATATTTTTCCTTGATATACAGGTGTGTGTATTTATATATACATAATGAATATACACACATATAGTATGTAAACAGAAACTTTTATTTTGATTTTGTTTTGCTGCCCTAATGTAAATATTAGTATTGTAATTTTACATTTATATTATATAATGATTATTTGATTAAATATTCAATTTATTTATTTTGCTGTGCAATAGTATTTCAATAGTATCATTACAATAGTATTTTCACATAAATCAAAATAATTATTATTTTACTGACTTTTTGAATGAGTCAACAGAGGAAATGAAACCCATGAGAGCTTTTTTAACTGTCCATGAAAACCCAAATTGTATTATTATTATTTATTATTTTTTAATAAAGTCCACACTCAAAAGTATTTTTTTTAATTATTATTTTTATTTTCTGTGCAGATACAGTCCCCTACAATATCACCCCATTTTTTTTTCTAGAATGATTCATTTTTCCAGAGTCATTTAGTGAAAATCCCTTTATTTTTCAGTATATATATACAGTGGGTACGGAAAGTATTCAGACCCCCTTAAATTTTTCACTCTTTGTTATATTGCAGCCATTTGCTAAAATCATTTAAGTTAATTTTTTTTCCTCATTAATGTACACACAGCACCCCATATTGACAGAAAAACACAGAATTGTTGACATTTTTGCAGATTTATTAAAAAAGAAAAACTGAAATATCACATGGGCCTAAGTATCACAATTGGTGGCTGACTAAATACTTTTTTGCCCCACTGTATATATACACATACTAGGGCTGCCCCCTGATAGTCGACTAATCGTTAGTCAACCAGATGAGACTTGGTCAACCAAAATGTTTTTAGTCGCTTAGTCGCAGAAAAAAAAAAATCCACAGGCGAAGTCACACAGTTCGTGACGGACAGATCGTTAACGGTGGTAATTCAGTACATCGGGCAGTACATCCAAACGCTCGCCTATCATTCATCGACCTCAAATATGGCTTATCATCTGAAATATGTAAGTATTAGCAACTTTACATGGCCGCTCAATCTAATGTTAACCTAGAGAAATGTGCGCTATTGAAGTGTCTGTGTGGAGTGTGGAAGCTGAACAGTAGCTCACTGCATGACAGATGGAGGCGCCGGTGCGCTCACTTACTCCTAAAATACTCCGTCATTTTTGGTCATACAGATAAGAGTAATACATCTTTCAAGTCTAGTAAAGACTATACATTTATTTGTGTGCACTCACAATAACAACAAAATGCGTTTTTTTGTAAAATAGTGAAAGCAAACATGATGCACTTTCTGCCGTCTCGGTCTCTGTGAACTTGAGCGCGAAACTCAGAGTATATCTTTGCCTTACAGACATTAAAAATATATCTATAGAGAGTGAAATGTCTACTTTCAAATGGAAAATAAATATTCTCAGATTATGCAATCCGTATGAAACATGCATACATGCACATCCACTACTGACGAGTCAGTGTCGCCGACTTCATCTCTTAAACCGAAAACAAAGAAATTTTGCGTGTTATGTCTCATCCTCATACAGTCTCTGGTGTCCTGCAGGTCCTAACGTTCAAGGAGATCAACTGGCAGAGTCTGCGCATAGAGGCGGATGCCATCGAGAGTGATGAGCAGGATCTGGGCAGCACGCCACTGCGCCTCATTACCAATCAAGGACGCATACGCATCGCTCTCAAGCGCAGGGTATGGTTTTGATATTTGTTTTGAAAGCAATTGGCTGTTCAAACATTTTCTCTCTTCATATCACATTTGCACCTGGGAAAATGACCAAACTAGTTGCAAAGTTTACATAGTTTTTCCATCTTGCTTGGATGATTCTGGTCATTTTTGTCAAAAAAAGATTTTTGCCCTAATTTAATTAATTCTAGTGATTCAGGGAAGTGCATCTCCTTGGAAAATGAAAAATAATTTAAAAAAAAATCTTAAAATATAACTTATGACAATTTAGGTAAAAACTTGAAAATATGTGAAGTTTATATTTTGGTGTACTTGGCGTACCAACTTTCGGCATACTTCTTTCAGAAACCGTACAGTGACCAGAAAAAAAAAATCTATCTTTACTTGAGTTATCATAGACCACATTCCTATTGTTTTATGACCCATTAATTATTGCTATAAAATAATATTAATAACTAGAATATTTTAGAAAAAATATTAAATTTATTAAAATATATTGAAATAATTATACTGTAAAATACCAAATATAGTATTTATTAATAATAATTAATTAAATAACTTTCAAACGTTTGGCTTTAAAAAATAAAGTAAAAAAATAAAGCTACATCTATGCAGGGCTTAAAGTTCTCCGGCGTGCAGCGTTTGGCTGTGGGGGAAAAAAAATCCTACATTTTAAAAAAACTTATTGATATCACTTTCGAGTCCATGAGTTTGCCTACCAATGGTGTGAGAGGAGCACAGCTTTCACTCTCAACCAAACTAACATTACTAGCCAATCAGAATTTTTTGCTCTTATAAATACGAGACATGCATAATAGTATCCAACTGCAGTCGCAGCCCTGATGAATGGAGAAGTGCGACACGTTGAAAAAGCTGCAAGGCGCAATGGTCAAAGATGTCCATCTAACGCATATTTATATAGGAAAACTAATTAAAAAGCCGCGGAACTTTGTAAACAGTTCAGAGTAATCATGTCATCTCCATAAGAACGATATGATCGCCAGAACAAATTTACCGGGATTTTTGAAAAGGTCCTGTTCTCACATGATCTCTTAATGATAACTTACCGGTAATTTACCAGTGAAGACTGTATGTGTGAACGGGGCTAAACTCTTCCTCTATATATGCTGTGAATTTGAATTGCTTAACGTTCACCTGGGAAATAGTGTGGATTATCTCACTAGATTTGTAACGTAAATCATTTATAAACCTTTGCCAATACAGGAGAATACATCAACCTGTTTCTAAATATGCCATTTATTGTACATCACGATTTCAAAATAAAAGTTTCTGCATGTGGCCAAATATTAAAATGTAATGGATTTAAACATCGTTTAATCACGCTGTAAAGTGAAACGTCACCAGTTGGTTATGTTCATATTATGTGTATAGGAATATTACATTATGTATTTTAACAGTGATGTTCAATAAAACCATGTAATTACTTGGTTTTTATATTTTATTTGAGCCAATTATCATTGCCTCATCTTTAGTTTATATATAAATATTCATACTAAAGCCTGGTTTTCCCTTAGGTCTGTTTGTTACTAAAAAATATCAGATTACTTAATTGTCAAAATAATCAGTAGATTACTTGATTACCAAAATAATCATTAGTTACAGCCCTAGATTAGTTAAAATATTTCAAAATACAACTGCATTGTTTTACTTTTTGTAATCAAAAGACAAATATTTTGTCATTGAAAATTTCTTAAAATAGTATTAAAATATTGTCTTGTTCTAGTGAACCAAGTATCTGTATTTTGTCTCATCTCTCTGTATTGTCATACCTCTAGTGTCGATAAGCGGTGATATAGCTCATAATTTTCCAAGTGTATGATATAGCTTTCATTCTTCAGGTCAACCATACATTCATGAAAAAAAAATCAGTTTGAATAAAGAAAGCGATAACTTTAAGCTGCAAGGCGCAATGGTCAAAGATGTCCATCTAACGCATATTTATATAGGAAAACTAATTAAAAAGCCGCGGAACTTTGTAAACAGTTCAGAGTAATCATGTCATCTCCATAAGAACGATATGATCGCCAGAACAAATTTACCGGGATTTTTGAAAAGGTCCTGTTCTCACATGATCTCTTAATGATAACTTACCGGTAATTTACCAGTGAAGACTGTATGTGTGAACGGGGCTAAACTCTTCCTCTGTATATGCTGTGAATTTGAATTGCTTAACGTTCACCTGGGAAATAGTGTGGATTATCTCACTAGATTTGTAACGTAAATCATTTATAAACCTTTGCCAATACAGGAGAATACATCAACCTGTTTCTAAATATGCCATTTATTGTACATCACGATTTCAAAATAAAAGTTTCTGCATGTGGCCAAATATTAAAATGTAATGGATTTAAACATCGTTTAATCACGCTGTAAAGTGAAACGTCACCAGTTGGTTATGTTCATATTATGTGTATAGGAATATTACATTATGTATTTTAACAGTGATGTTCAATAAAACCATGTAATTACTTGGTTTTTATATTTTATTTGAGCCAATTATTATTGCCTCATCTTTAGTTTATATATAAATATTCATACTAAAGCCTGGTTTTCCCTTAGGTCTGTTTGTTACTAAAAAATATCAGATTACTTAATTGTCAAAATAATCAGTAGATTACTTGATTACCAAAATAATCATTAGTTACAGCCCTAGATTAGTTAAAATATTTCAAAATACAACTGCATTGTTTTACTTTTTGTAATCAAAAGACAAATATTTTGTCATTGAAAATTTCTTAAAATAGTATTAAAATATTGTCTTGTTCTAGTGAACCAAGTATCTGTATTTTGTCTCATCTCTCTGTATTGTCATACCTCTAGTGTCGATAAGCGGTGATATAGCTCATAATTTTCCAAGTGTATGATATAGCTTTCATTCTTCAGGTCAACCATACATTCATGAAAAAAAAATCAGTTTGAATAAAGAAAGCGATAACTTTACCATAGTATCCTTTCAAATGTCCCCCCCGCCCCTGGAAAAAAGTTCAGGCTCAGGATTTTTTTTTTTGCTTTAACCCCTGTGTATGTAAATGACCACAGTACTGCTTCGCTTTGAAACATGCAGTGCATAGATTTAATTAAATAACAGCGTTCATGATAATTGCACTAAACCATATTGTGATTCATATTGTGAATTTTATGTCAATATATCGTGCAGCCCTGATCAGAATGAAATCATATGCATTCTGTGCTGACGTTACTGACGTTAACTCTCGTCATCTCAGGTGAAGGACTGTAATGTCTTGGCCTCTAAGCTGCTGTTTATACTGGATGATCTGCTGTGGGTGCTGACAGACTCTCAGCTCAAGGCCATCATCAACTACGCCAAGTCTCTGAGTGAAGCCATGGAGAAGTCCGGCCAGCAGAGGAAGAGCATGGCTGCTGAGACATTACAGGTGCCACACTGTGTCCTTTAAATCAGTCTGTTATGAAAACAGCTTAATGATTCATCAGATACTCTTCTTATTGGCACGTGATGTTTTAAGATCAAAAACAAAACCCTTGTCTTATGCTGCAGCTTGCTCAGACTTCATGAATCAGGTTTTGGTGGTTTTAGTGTGGCTTTTTAACACAATTGTCATTACAAAACAGCTCAGCAAAGTAAATGTAGCGTAAAGCCCTCTATAATATATTAAATCCCAGCTCTACCCAGGAGCAGCCCATTCTGCATCAGCCGTGAATGACTCGGACAGTGCTTGAGTGTTTATTCATGTCTTATTGTATTTGTGCATCAGACTGCGCCACCCTCTCCTGGGATCCACTCTCTGTGGACTGAACCTCCTCCACCCGAAGCGGGCGGGACCCCCGGCACACTGGCCCAGTATTTTGACCTCCACGATGTCAAAGAATCATCCTACCACACTTTCATCTCCCGACTCGACCTGCATATCTGCAACGACAGCTCCTCAGATTCCGGTACTGAATTTTGATCACCGTTACCACCGAGATGCATTAAAATTAATAGGTCATCGAAAATTAAAACTGACATTTACTCACGCTTATGCCATTCCAAACCCTTACTTTATTCTTCTGTGGAAACCAAAGGGAGACGTTTAACAAAATGTTCAAGCTGCTCTTTTACAAACAATGAAAGTCAGTGGGGATGTTAATGCGAGAAACAGGATGAATTTAAACCACTTTTGGCTTACTTAAATTATGCATTTTTGTCCGTTTTATGAAAAAGAGCAGTTTGGACATTCAAATAAATATTGTCTTTAGTGTTCCTTGGAAGACAGCAACTCATGCAGGTTTGAATATTTGAATGAGCTAAGTTAACTAAAGATATTTCATCATGACAAGGGCTAACCGATGTGATTTATGCTGCACACATAGATGAAGCTCCACCTCCAGGCATGCAGGGTGCGATGCAGCTGACCTTCCGGAAGCTGGGCTGTGACTATTACCCGTTCCACAGGCCAGGTGACTCCACTGCTGTTCATATGAGCTTCAAATTATACTGAGTTGTGCTTCAGAGGTTTAATACAAATGATTTACCATTCAAAATTCACACTACCGTTCATGTGCTTTTGAAAGAAGTCTCTTAAGTTGGCCAAGGCTGCATTTATTTGATCATATTACAGTAAAATTGTGAAATATTATTACAATTTAAAATCACTGTTTTGTATTTGGATGTATTTTAAAATGTAATTTATTCCTGGGATCAAAGGCTGAATTTTCAGCATCATTACTCCAGTCTTCAGTGTCACATGATCCTTCAGAAATCATTCTAATATGCTGATTTGGTTATTATAAATGTTAAAAACAGTTGTGCTGCTCCATAATTTTTAGAAAAAATATAATTGTATTTACTGTCACTTTTGATTAATATAATGCATCCTTGTTGAATAAAAGTATTAATTTTTTCCCCCAAACTTTCTGCCCCCGAGCTTTCGAGTAGAGCTTTCGTGTTTAGGTTATAGCTGTGTCTGAAGTCAGTGTATTGTGTGAATGGTTGACTGTAGGGTAAGAGCCAGATATGTGTAGTTGAGAGACGTGTGTTGACTAGTGACATATGCTGTGCTGTACAGGTGATGGCTGTCGGCATTGGGAGCGTCACTGTGGAGCGATGGAGTCTCGTGCTCAGTGGGCCGCCAAACTGCTGCAGGAGTTTCAGAGGAGGGTGGAGGATCTGGGCATCCCTGGACCGCATTCAGAGCCAAATGTGTCCGCTAAAGTCTCTCCAGCCAAAAAAATCAAGGGTAAGCGTTCTCTGAATGCCTATGCATCCCCAATCCAAAACTAAATGTTGGTGTTATTGTGAATGATTCATCAGTGCACATTATTTTAAAAAAAAAATAAAAAATTAATTTTAATCTGTCTTCAAAGTGTCACAACTTTTCTCTCTCAAGAAGCACAGTTCTTACAATTTCTTAGTCTAAACAAAAAATAACATGAACATGTTTGGGTTTTTTTCCTCTTGAGAGTTTGCTTTATTGTGTTAGTTTCTTAATATTGGAGTGGTCTTATTTTATGTTACGCAGATGGAGAATCACTGTCCAATTTCAGTCCTGAGCGGTCTCAGACCTCACGGCGGACTTCAGCAGCCGCCCCGTCCTCAGGAACCCCGCTGAAGAGACTTCGCTCCAGCTGTATGGTGATCCGTGTGGATGACCTGGACATCCATCAGGTCTGAGACATCTCTACACAAACATACAAAATCATTGAAACACACTTGAGAATGACAGCCTTTCATTCTTATATACTGTGCAGATTAAAAGTCCATCTCTCCTTTTTGTTGTAATTTGTTTTGTTTTGTTTTTGTATTTGTTGTAAAAATTTATTTTTTTAATTAATTTTAAACTATATTTTTTAAAGTATATATACCTTTTAGTTTCTTCCCAGGTTTCATTGTTTTTGAATCCCACTTGTGGATAATGTGTAATTTGAACACTTTAGATGTCTAAACATTTCACAGGAAACAGTGTATCATAAAAGTCTGTACTTAATTTGTTCTGTTGTGAATAGACATACACTGAGACTGCTAAAAGAGGAAGCACAAGTTTTGTATTTGTTTTTACTCTTTTACCACGAGCTTGTATACTCATGCTTTTTATGTGACACAAGTCAGTTCCGTCCAAAATTGGACTCACCGGGCATGTCTGAATGTCATCCCTTTTTGCATCACAGCATGTGATGTGTTGCTGATGTTATGCTTTGGTTATGCTGAAATGGGAAGTTCAAGGGCAAGATGACCATTTTGATGAGTTTCATTGAGATAAATTGGACATGTCACACTAATTCAGAAAATGTTTTTAAAGAATCTCTGATTACATTCATGTGTAACGTGGATCGGCAAGTATTTTTCATTCTCGACAAGACAATGTGACACTTTAATTTTTAATGTAATGCATCCTTAGGGCATGAACATTTCATCAGTGCTGTCACTTATGATATAAGGCATGTTTTCTCATGTTTACAGTTGTCTCGGTAGCTCAAAAGAGACATAAGTCTGTACTCTTAAAACTACAGTTCTCAAAGTTATCAAGTCATCTGAATAAACAGAAAATGTGGGGGAAAATTAATTAGATAAATGTTACCCTCAAGTATAAGAAATGGTTTAATGTTCTGTCCTGAGTTCACATGTTTGGTGTAAAATGTTTCACTATTTCCACAAAAATAATGAAGTAGCACAACTGTGTTAAATTGTGTACATTGATGATAATAAATGTTTCCTGAGCAGCAAACCAGCATATTAGAATGATTTCTGAAGGATCATGTGACACTGAAGACTAGAGTAATGATGCTGAAAATTCAGCTTCGATTACAGGAATAAATTACATTTTACAATATATTCAAATAGAAAACATTTATTTTAAATATATATTTTTTGCTGTTTTTACTGTATCTTTTTAATCAAGTAAATGGAGCCTTGGTGAGCATAAGAGACAAAACTTCTCTCTTTTTTTCCCAGAACACTCTGTGCGACAAAAGCTGGTCACCTTTTTTTGAAAAGCTAAAGTCAATAAATAAATAAGTTAAACCCCATCTGTTGCTATAGGTGTCCACTGGAGGCCGTCACAGCAAGAGAACACAGTCTCTCCTCTCCTGCAACCGCAAATCCTTACATCTCCCAGACAACACTCCTGCAATTCACCTTCAGTTCACTGAATACTACTTCCCTGATAACCCTGGACTTCCTGGTGCGTTAGCTATGATTTTTCACATTCATTGATCACTATGGTTAAAGGGGTCATATGATGCTTTTTTTAAAGATCATTATTTGGTGTATTTGGTTTAACAGAATATGTTGACATGCATTAATGTTCAAAAACACCATTATTTTTCAAATACTGTACATTATTGTAGGTCCTCTATGCCCCGACTCTCTCAAGCGCTTCGTTTTCTACAAAGTCCCTCCTTCCGACAAGCGCAGTCTGCTCTGATTGGCCGGCTGACCCAGTGCATTGTGATTGGCCGAACACCGCAAGCACTCGTTGGAAATGTAACGCCCCTTATCATAATCGCAAGCTTCATCTTTCAAAATAAATGTAAAGACAGAGCCCGAAAGGGGAACAGAGTCGCGTGACAGACACAGTGATGAAGCTGGTATGTGTTTGCAGTACACAAGCCACGGTTAAGACAGCTGACTCCACTGTGATGTGTCTCGCTCTCTCGCGCTCTGCATTCCGGGGGGAAGGGTTCATGGGTCCTCGTATGGCTTGTTAACTGAGGGGGGTTACAGAGTATTTGTTAAATATAAAAACAAAATATATATTGTGTGTTTGATTGGTCCAGACGCTACACGTAGAAAGAGGATCTTTTTGTAATATTACCACTCCTTAATCTGCAAGTTTCCACCCATGGTGCCACCAAACGACAACGGTTTACCAGTTCTAACGCCACGGCAAAAGTTTGAGCAAAGCATGCTAACTGTTCTGTCTTTGTCTGCACTGACGAGCACGGAACACTATTTAGAGTCCCAGCCTCAGAGGAGACGAGAGCAGTGGATTTATTAATTTATTTATTGTATATTACTCTGCTGCCACATACTGTAGATATAATATAAACATGTGATTTATTTCCCAGTCGTTAACCTTCACATACATGACTGACTGTTTTTGTAACGTTTTTGTGTTTTTAACAAACTTGTGTGTATTTGACAGTTTAAATGCAATAAGACATGAAAGAGAACCCTAGGCCCTGTCCACACGAATGCGGGCATTTTCAAAACCGCAGCTTTTTCTACGAGGTTTGGCCGTTCGTCCACACGCAAACGCACCACCAGGTCACTGAAACCGAACATCTTTGAAAACTCCTGCCAGGGTGAAGATTTTCAAAAACTCCGGTTGCAGTGTTATCGTGTAGACCGCAAAACCGGAGATTTTGGCTTGTGATGTCGGGCCTTGCGCGGTTATCTCCGCCTACTGGAAACTTTTTCAGGCTTCTGATTGGCCAACATGGCTTTACGGTTGAGATTATATCGCCACCTGTTGGCTTGGCATGCTCTTGACAGTGCTTCATAGCATGCTTTTGCATTTTCATGTGTACTGAGATTTTTTTTTAAACGGAAGAAGGAAAAACTCAGTTTATAAAAATACCCGCGTACTTGTAGACATGGCCTTAGTTTAGTACTCGCATGCCGTGTGACAGCCGCTTTCTGTGCACATGCTTCGGATGTGTGCGCTCAGAAAACTGTATATCAGAAGTTTAAACTAATATAGTTTAAAACGCATGATTTTAGCGTGATAGACATGATAATCAAAATGTTTTTAGCAGAGTATCTGAGGAATGAGCTGTAAAGGCAGAGCACAATTCTGTAAAAGTGGGCGGGGAGCAGCAGCTCATTTGCATTTAAAGAGACATGCACGAAAACGGTGTGTTTCTGCTTCCACTCAAAATAGCCATTTTCAAAATGATATAATAAATGATCTGTGAGGTATTTTGAGCTGAAACTTCACAGACACATTCTGGGGACACCTGAGACTTATATTACATATTGTAAAAAGGGGCATAATAGGTCTCCTTTCAATTATTTGCTAATTAAACTGCTCAAATCATATGGACTACTTTATTTTAGGTCTTCATGAACTCATGAACTTTCAACTTTCTGGTGGAATTGACTTTCAATGGAGAGAGAGAAGTCTCTCAAGTTTCATTACAAATATCCTCATATCCTCTTCAAAATTAATAGTTTTATGGGTTTGGAATGACATGAAGATAAGTAATTAATGACAAAATTAATTAGCTATCCCTTTAATGTTTGACAAGTTATGCTGAACTCTTCCTGCCAGTGTGGTTAATGACTTGTAATTCGTTGCCTCAAGTATCATGTGTTGATATGACTTCTGTAGGGAGCAAAGTGCACGGCCAGAAGAGTCCGGTCCCTCCATGATGGGGAACCTGCGGCTTCAGTCCATGAAACAGTCGCCTTCCCAGAATTCCTGTGACAGTGCCATTTTAGAAAGTAGTCTGGCGGACGATGGCATGTCCATTGATAGTGACATCAGTGAAAACTTTGTCATCCTCATGGACTCTGGTACAGCACTTGCACTTTTATTTTAAAAGCTATAACTATAACTGTCAGTGTCTAAGTCATGTGTGTTTGTGTTGTTGTGATTCAGAGTCTGGTGTGGAGTCTTTGCGTCCGAATGGTGCAGGTGTCTCCGGCAGCTGTGTTAGTCTAGCTCCAGGAACAGAAGGCGGCTCATCAGCAGACCTCAGCAGCTCCCTGTCCCAGAGCACTGAAGACATTGCTCAAGATATGGTGAGTTTTATCTTGCGTACTGTAGCGCACATAGATGGCTAAACACCTGAACTTCAGAAAATGCATCATGAAACTGCATCTTAAATGCAGTGCTCATTTGCCAAAACTGATAATCATTTGCTCACTATCATGTGCTTATAAAATCCATATGGCAAAGAAAGCATAACGTGACCATGAGTCTATATCACATTTGCCCATATTCAAACAGTAAACATGTTTTAACATGGGCTTTAATGCCAGTAAGGCAAGTACTTTAGTGATTGCCGAGGGGAAGTTTAGTAATCAATCAGTGCTCAGGATTGATCAGAAGCATTTACTGTGATCGTAGTTGGTTGTGTGATTTTTAATGAACGCTCTGATTTTATTCCAGGTGTCTGTGTTAGTTCTGTGTCTGAGGCGAATAGGGTGCCTGACGGAGAAGTGTGGTGAAGATATCGTGGTGGCGCTGGAAGCCCAAGAGCTTGTGCCTAAACAACATGGCAACCATAAAGTCATAGACCTGCTGGCGGGACTGGCACTGACTGAGGGTTAGGATGCTAAATGTGTCCATAAATGTGAATGCCAAAATAATAATTTGGCCACTTTTTTTTGACCGCTTTGTTTAAATTAACATTAGGCACAACACTGTTTACATGAATCTCCTGCCCAAACATCCCCAAGATTCCAATAGTGATCGCTTTCACTTGTCAGCACCAGTTTGAATGACCTTGTGCTAATTCAGCTTCTCAGACATCGACAAACGTACATACGAGTATGTTGGACACATCTGTTTCATAAGATCACACATCATTAAAGGAGCAGTTCACCATTACATCACTTGTTCACCAGTGGATCCTCTGCAGTGAATGGGTGCCGTCAGAATGAGAGTCCAAACAGCTAAAAGGCCGGAACACTCTCCACACGAATGCGGGCATTTTCAAAACCGCAGCTTTTTCTACGAGGTTTGGCCGTTCGTCCACACGCAAACGCACCACCAGGTCACTGAAACCGAACATCTTTGAAAACTCCTGCCAGGGTGAAGATTTTCAAAAACTCCGGTTGCAGTGTTATCGTGTAGACCGCAAAACCGGAGATTTTGGCTTGTGATGTCGGGCCTTGCGCGGTTATCTCCGCCTACTGGAAACTTTTTCAGGCTTCTGATTGGCCAACATGGCTTTACGGTTGAGATTATATCGCCACCTGTTGGCTTGGCATGCTCTTGACAGTGCTTCATAGCATGCTTTTGCATTTTCATGTGTACTGAGATTTTTTTTTAAACGGAAGAAGGAAAAACTCAGTTTATAAAAATACCCGCGTACTTGTAGACATGGCCTTAGTTTAGTACTCGCATGCCGTGTGACAGCCGCTTTCTGTGCACATGCTTCGGATGTGTGCGCTCAGAAAACTGTATATCAGAAGTTTAAACTAATATAGTTTAAAACGCATGATTTTAGCGTGATAGACATGATAATCAAAATGTTTTTAGCAGAGTATCTGAGGAATGAGCTGTAAAGGCAGAGCACAATTCTGTAAAAGTGGGCGGGGAGCAGCAGCTCATTTGCATTTAAAGAGACATGCACGAAAACGGTGTGTTTCTGCTTCCACTCAAAATAGCCATTTTCAAAATGATATAATAAATGATCTGTGAGGTATTTTGAGCTGAAACTTCACAGACACATTCTGGGGACACCTGAGACTTATATTACATATTGTAAAAAGGGGCATAATAGGTCTCCTTTCAATTATTTGCTAATTAAACTGCTCAAATCATATGGACTACTTTATTTTAGGTCTTCATGAACTTTTGAAGCGTCAACTTTCTGGTGGAATTGACTTTCAATGGAGAGAGAGAAGTCTCTCAAGTTTCATTACAAATATCCTCTTTGTGTTTCCAAAATTAATAGTTTTATGGGTTTGGAATGACATGAAGATAAGTAATTAATGACAAAATTAATTAGCTATCCCTTTAATGTTTGACAAGTTATGCTGAACTCTTCCTGCCAGTGTGGTTAATGACTTGTAATTCGTTGCCTCAAGTATCATGTGTTGATATGACTTCTGTAGGGAGCAAAGTGCACGGCCAGAAGAGTCCGGTCCCTCCATGATGGGGAACCTGCGGCTTCAGTCCATGAAACAGTCGCCTTCCCAGAATTCCTGTGACAGTGCCATTTTAGAAAGTAGTCTGGCGGACGATGGCATGTCCATTGATAGTGACATCAGTGAAAACTTTGTCATCCTCATGGACTCTGGTACAGCACTTGCACTTTTATTTTAAAAGCTATAACTATAACTGTCAGTGTCTAAGTCATGTGTGTTTGTGTTGTTGTGATTCAGAGTCTGGTGTGGAGTCTTTGCGTCCGAATGGTGCAGGTGTCTCCGGCAGCTGTGTTAGTCTAGCTCCAGGAACAGAAGGCGGCTCATCAGCAGACCTCAGCAGCTCCCTGTCCCAGAGCACTGAAGACATTGCTCAAGATATGGTGAGTTTTATCTTACCTGTAGCACATCTAGATGGCTAAACACCTGCCACTTGTCCTCTGTATGGAAGATCATCAGAAAATGCATCCTGACACTGTGTTGAAAATGAAGTGCTCATTGTGCAAATCTCTGAAAAATAGCTAAATATGTTATTTATTTGTTTTTGTTTTTTAATTTGATAATATTTTACTTTGACTATTATTGCAATATTTTTTTTTCTGCTGTATATTTCTTATTTCCTGTTTTCTAATTGATGTCCTTTGCCGTAACTCCTCAATTTCTTAAATTAACTAACCACAAATAATTATTTCAGAAGTTATAAGAACTGGATTAATGCAAACAGTTTATAAATTAAACATTTCAATTACATCAAAAACAGTGTAGCCAGAAGCTGTCAGTCTGTGTTTTTCTCACACACACACACACACACACAAAAATAGTAGACATGTACTTTACTAATCAGTGAGGGAAAGTTTAGTAAGAAATCAGTGCTGTCAGGATTGATCAACAGCATTTACTTTGATCATAGTTGGTTGTGTGATTTTTAATGAGCGCTTTTTTTCCTCAGGTGTCTGTGTTAGTTCTGTGTCTGAGTCGAATGGGGTGCCTGACAGAGATGCGTGGTGAAGATATCGTGGTGGCGCTGGAAGCCCAAGAGCTTTTGCCTAAACAACATGGCAACCATAAAGTCACAGACCTGCTGGCAGGACTGGCACTGACACAGGGTTAGGATGCTGAATGTGTCCATAAATGTGAATGCAAAAATATTGCCAATATGCCATTTAGACTCTTTACACTTCAAGGCCTAATTATTATTATTATTTATTTATTATTGTTATTATTTGGACATATTTGACAGTTTTTTTTGTCCCATCTGTTTACATTAACTTTAATTAATCTCATGACCAAACATTCCCAAGATACCATTGGTGATCACTTTCACTGTGAGCGCCACAACTGACCTTCGGTTTTTGAATGGCCTTGTGCTAATTCAGCTTTTCAGAAGATGCCAAACATGCATGCGAAGATAACAAACCAGAAGGTTTCAGTTTCTGTGGTTTACAGGTGCATCCAACCTGATCACATAAGAAAACAACAATTTTACCAGGTGGTGATTTTGTATGTATTTGCACAATATTATTCATACAGAAACATGATTAGAAATAAAGAAAGCATAAAGGTCCACCCCTAAACTTAACCATCAGTTGGGCATAAGCAGATTGTACAAAAAGGCACAAATATGCCATTTAGACTCTTTACACTTCAAGGCCTAATTATTATTATTATTTATTTATTATTGTTATTATTTGGACATATTTGACAGTTTTTTTGTCCCATCTGTTTACATTAACTTTAATTAATCTCATGACCAAACATTCCCAAGATACCATTGGTGATCACTTTCACTGTGAGCACCACAACTGACCTTCGGTTTTTGAATGGCCTTGTGCTAATTCAGCTTTTCAGAAGATGCCAAACATGCATGCGAAGATAACAAACCAGAAGGTTTCAGTTTCTGTGGTTTACAGGTGCATCCAACCTGATCACATAAGAAAACAACAATTTTACCAGGTGGTGATTTTGTATGTATTTGCACAATATTATTCATACAGAAACATGATTAGAAATAAAGAAAGCATAAAGGTCCACCCCTAAACTTAACCATCAGTTGGGCATAAGCAGATTGTACAAAAAGGCACAAATATGTTGTTGAATAAAGATTTACCAAAACTTTTTTTTTTTTTCACAATAGCTGGTTCTTCCTCCCCAAGTGCGCCTCTGTCTCCCGGGCCCCAGTCTCTTTACTGTCCCCCAGCAGCGGCCCTCAGGATGGAGATGGGACCATGTGCAGGCAGACACTCTCCTCTGTCTGAGAGTGTGGGCTTCATGGAAATGTGCTTGACAGGGTGCAAAGCAGAGCTCCTGGCTTCTACCTTAAACACGCTGGGACCCTTCCTGGAAGATGAGCTCAGCGCAGACCCCCAGCCAATGAGACTGTGGTTACGGGACACTGCTATTACACTAAAGGTGAGAATGAGTGTCAAATGATGCCCATAATCAGAGACTAGCCATTCCCTTTGATAGATTATCAGTTGATCAGTTACTGGACAAGCTTCAGCATTTTACAAAGCAAGACAAGACAAAGGCAATGAAAAATGTTCTGTTTTCTCTCTTTCTGACAGGATGATGGTCCTCGTGTCTACCCGACCGCTCCTCAACCAGTTCCTGTGCTTTTCTCTCTGGACGGTATTGTGCTGGAGCGTTTGGATGATGGAATCCTCAGCTTGAGACGTGAGTCCTTTGGGTTTGGGTTACAGCGGCTGCTCAGATTACAGGATATCTGTGCTGTCACCTGTTAAACTAACGTTTGCTTCCTCTGTTTCACTTTTACGCATGCAGCTGCGCAGAGCCAATCAGGGATTGAGACCAGTGGGGACAAAGATAGAGCTGGCCAATCCTGCTTTAGAGCTGAGGAGAAAAACAAGGTATCATATATTAGAAAATTATTATACACAATGTAATGTTGCATTATTTATGTGTTTGGCCTGTTTGAGTTTGGTTTGAGATGTTAAACAGAACATCTGCCCCTATCGTAGTTTTTAAATCTCATTTTCACTCACAATTAATTTGAACGTTGCATTTCCAGATGCATGATGTCAGGTTGGACATAAGAAAGAGAAAAGAAAAAAATGACTTTTGATGTTGTTGGCATCAAGCCTAGTGTGACATCTTGACGCACTATATTTTAATTATACACAAGCGCTAATGAGCTTTGTATGGTAGCCCATTTTTGCCACAAAAGAAAAATTATGCTTCAGTCAAAATTCAGAGATAAAACTTGAAATTTAAAATAAAATTAAATAAAGAAGTGGAAATTGAGATACTAAGACAAAATTGAGATAAAAAGACAATATATTTATGACAAAATACATTTGAGATTGTCTTTGAGTTTTTGTAATGATTGACTTTTTAGCTCATAATTTCAATGTCAATGACACGTCAATTTCTACTTTTTTGACAATTATGTTTGTCATTAATTTCGACTAATGTCATAATTGTTTTTTTGTCAGTGCCAACATGTCATAATTATGACTTTTATTTCTCGTTTTACCTTTTTCACTTTAAATATCTCATAATTATGACTTTTATTTCTCATTTTACCTTTTTCATTTTAAAAATCTCATAATTATGACTTGGTGTCTCGGTTTGAATTTTTATCTCATAATTGACTTAGTATCTCATAATTTAAAATATTCAACATTGTGCTTTTTATGCCATAATTGTGATTTTTTTTTTTCAAAGCCTGAATTTTTTCATGTGGCCAAAATGGGCTTCCATAAGATTTTAGAGGTTTTGTGTGTGTCCTTTTCAGAGAAATAAAAAATAATGTTTTCGTTTACAGTTTCAAGCCTACAGTAATTTTCTAGCGCTTGGCTACGATTCCTTTCGAGGACAAGACTCTCAAATGTCAACAGTGGCATTGGATATCTTAATTACATGTCTGAAGCCTAAATGTCTTTTATTATTTATGGGTGAAGGTGTATTGCTACAACTGCTCTCTAAAATTGTCTCTTAAGTCTTATTCGGATGGGACTAACTACGTTTGAGTTTCGATTCTTATCACCTGACGTCTGCGATTTTTCATGTACCAATTTGGACAGGACAAATATATCTCTATGTTTATTACAGAGGTGGGAGGGTCTGTTTTGTACATCTGGGCGTCGCAGAGATCACGTTCTCTGTATGCGTGCACTGCGTATAGTCATTCGGATTCATTACCATTAATATATAACCACATGTTTACTACAAATACCACGGTGAAGCTATATGGCTAGTATATCAAAACCATGGTTAATGTGTGGTTACTTTAGTGTTTAATTTTCGTAAAGGTACACATGTAATTAAAATATTATGTAGTTGAGTGCAGAAATGAACGTTACGTGAGTAATCTTACCTGGCGCTGATATTACACTAGCCATTCTTAATAGTTTACGTGAGTTGGTTCTTGAATTTATTATTGTTATTTTTTATTTCTTTCCCGAGAGGCAAACATATCAAAAACGCATGCGGTAAGAGCGTCTACGGTAGTTCGCGTTGGCCAAAACACATCATCGGCAATCACAGACATTCACATTTGGACGGGATTAGTTTTCTCACAGGATCACTGAGTTTGCCGAAAAACAGTAGGTAATTTGCTCTGTAATTTTTACAGAGGTTGTGTGAGAAAAACAGACGTGGCAGATCCGGACGGGATTAAAATCGCTAAGTACGTCTGTGAAACACAAATTTCCCTGTAAAACTAGTCCCGTCCGAATAGGGCTTTATAGTGTGTTTCAAAAGAGTGTTTTTGTGTTTCAGCTGATCACAATTGATATTTAGTCTAGTTCAGAATCTCATCTGTTTCTGTTTCTCTGTTGGTTCAGTCTCTGGAGTCCAGACTCGCTGATGTCCAGTCAGCTCTAGAGAAAGCTCTGTCTGACCGAGAGCGCCTGCTACAGGAAGTGATGAAACACAACCCCTCCTTCACCTTATGATGTACAAAGGGAAAGAAACCAGACTTGAGTCCAAATGAGGCAGAAGAGAATATGTCTTGTAGATAAACCAGAAGAACAAGAGGGTTTGCCTCTGCTGACTCAAAGTTCTCATCCATCCCTTTCTGTACCTTTACTCTCTAACGTCTGAGTGTGAAATCACATGCCATCCAGTTCTCTTCAGTCTCTGTAGGCATCCTCCATGAGCCTTCCTGTAGTGACGTTTCTTTGTATGTGACTGCACTACACGGGTTCACCAAGTTCCCAGGACTGAATCAAGTGAAACGGATGACACATGTACACGGATGACACCTCTTCACTGCACACTGGATCATCTCTTTACTTCTGGTCAGCATGCTTCTTGCACATTAGTAATTTTTAGTTTCACGAAAGGACTGTGTACAGCTTTTAGGCTTTATAGACGTTTCTGAGTGTTATTTGGTACCACGGCTATGTAGCGCTGGTAGATACAAGCTCTGTTCCAGAACCTAGACAGTAGGGCTGGGTTGATATTACCAGTTAATCGATTGTAATTAACCAAGAATCGATCTTTCAAAAAGTCTGCGATTTTCTGTTAATGCATCAACGAAACGTCACTAAATATGACTTGTCATGTGCCTCCAATAATCGCAATAAGCTTTGCGCTGTTACTTTTAGTATGAAAGTCTCAACTTTCAAATTCTATACATTTTAGCACAAAATTCAAACAAATGGTGTTTGACATGCTTTGATTTTATTGATGTCTCCGTTCAAGCGGCACGTGAACCTCTTCCTCTTTACTACTAGTTACAGCATGAAATGGACATGAATGAACATCACGAGGTTGCTAAAAAATTCCTTGTTTAATTTACATTAGTGTACAATTTTTTGAATGTTGCTTATTTTATTGAAAAATGGCAAGTAAATTTGGACTGTTTTTAATAGTTTATATTTTATAGTAATTTATCAACTGTAAGCTCACAGCATTGGTTGAGATTGGTCTCCTCAAGAAAAAATTTAAACCTGTCCAAAAATATATGTATGTCCAAATGAATCAGTATAGAATTGAATCAACTCGAATCTAGAGCATGTGAAGTGGAATCGGTCTCAGTTACCAGCCCTAACAGACATATTACACGTTCTTGACACAACAGGTACTCAAAGATACTTCTATTTCAAATGGACTGATCTATTCCTTTTTTTTTTAAATATGCATTTTAAAATGTCGTGCTTGTAAGAGGATTCAAGTTGTTCACTTAACATTTCAAATCAGTCTCTTGTGAGGTTCCTTGACTGTTAGGATGCTGCCTTTGAAGGTAACTAGTAAGCGTAGACAGCAAGGCAGTTTGCTAGGTTTAGGAACAGAGCTGTGGATTTGACTAGAGTACTGTGTTGTACGTTTCTTATCGGCTGCTATTCAGTGTGTAAAGTACAGCTGATGTGTGTGTGTGTTATTCATGAAAGGAGCCGGAACAAAAGCACTTTGACTTAAATGCACTGTAAATAGCACAGTTTTTATCTGAGGTTCAGTGTACAAAAGATGGTACTTCTGTTAACCAACACATCCTCGGTCATTGTACTTCGATGCCGTCCGTTTCCTCTAGTGTAGGATCACGGTTCTCATGCCGTACAGATGAAGTGATCATAGAGAAGCATTAGTGCCAGTGCTGGTGGTCAAATTATTTGGTGCACAGGGACTTCAGATGGGAAGTCACTTTTATTCAGTATTACAGTGCGCATCTATCCAGATTTATTACATTGTAAACTGAAAAACGTTTATTTTTTGGTTATAGTCTGTTACACTAATGTCACATCTACTCTGTAGAGTTCAGACAAAAATATTAACTTTTATGCATATTTATTTGAACTTTATATGTATGAGATGGTTTCTTTTGACTGGACGTCCATTAACAAGTACATGAAATGCGCACGTTTTTGTTTTATATAAAAATAATGGAAGTAATTTAATAATAAATTGTGTTTGTTTTACTGCTTTTTTTTTAGGATGATGCATTTCAGTTTTTATTATTATTTACAAATTGTCCTTTCTACCCCCTTTTAAAATGTTTAACTAGGAGTTGTAAAGAGAGGATGACGTGAAAGTGTTCCTGTGTGATGTCCTGTACACAGAACCTAATTGAACTACAGGTGCGACAGCATTTCGACACATTTCTGGTGTGTACTGCAAGGTTTAGGACTATCACAAGGCTCATTTTTGTGGTAAATCAGTATTATGAGGCAGATAAGTCCTGCGTCTATGATGGTTTGTGGGTTTGTAGGAAACAGCAGAATAAATGTGGCTCCTCTAGGTCTATTAACATCCCTCAGACGTTTGGATTGATTTATCAGCAAATGTCTGGTTATTTCAAATGTGGCACATCTTTCTGCTCCAGTGTCTCATTGTGTCTCTGTGCTTCAGCTTTCAGTGCGATGTGTAGCGTTCATATACACTAAACAATCTCTGTTAGTGTATCAAGATATTTGGAACACCTTTGGAAAACTAACGATTACAATAGTCTAAACTGTTAAGACTTTTCTGTAGATGGTAGAAATGGAAATATTATTCTTACGATCAAAAATAACTTCATTCACTGCATGGAAGAAGAAGTTTTATGCATGACTGTACTTGAAATCTTTCACAAGTGCAACATCATCAAGGTCACAGACTGTTTATTTGTTTTATTTTTTCATTTTATTTAAGAGTCATTGTTACAGTACTGTTGATGAGCATTGCCTGTGATCGGAATGAGCATATTGACCTGATTTTACTAATAGTATTGATTGTTTTTTAGCTGTGTAGTTGGTACTGAATTTACTTCTATTTCTGTGTGTGCTGTTTAATCACGTTATCTGTCCAGTATGATGAATGTTTTGTTTGTTACACATGAAGGTGGAAATGCCACCTCATTTCTCATCAAAATCACCAATTGATCTGAGCTGCCTTGAATATTAATATTGCTGTCAACAATTATCTGTATTTAATCACAGGGATTTTTAGAGAAAATTCATATATGTAAGCATTTCTTTGCATGAATATGAATTCAGATGGACACCTGATGCAATTGCATTTGCCTGTGTTTTATCGAGAGTAAAGTCGGATATGTGGATTGTCTCGGAGCAGAATGTTTTGCGCAGCAGATACAGTGTACGATTATCAGGTTTTAAATAGTTGAATTGAGTTGTGCTTGGTTATATCTGATGTCTGCAGTTGAGTTAATTGAATGACAAATGTTCAGTACTGTTCATGTCCCTCTGACCTGCTATGGATGAAATTCAAGGTTTTAGTTTGACCTCTGATCTCTTCATTACGATATTCTAATGCAATTTCACATTTCTATCACCATTAAAGTCCTGGAACAAAACATTCAAACAAAACTGATATTTTGTTGGTTCTGTGAACCATAACTGTTTGAAAATGATCAATAAAATGTTTCTTAAAGTTGAACTTTGGGTTTCTACTGTCATTTACTTTCTCTAACGTCAGTGCACTTATTCAACTGAGAAATGCCCAACACAGTACTATTAGCTACTGGTAAAAATAAATAAATAAATGTTGAAACCAATAATTCTGCTGTAGACAAATGCCAGTCAGGTTAATGTTGAGTAACTTGTTTTTAGATACAATATTTCTGGTTACTTTGTCCATTTCTGCTCCACCAACAACAATGGGTTCAAATGAAGCCAAAACAGAATAAACCTTTATGCATCTATGCAAATCACGTACTGCATTCAGAATATACTAGCATACTACTGGGCCTGTTACTGTTTTTGCCATATAACAATATGGTTAATAATAGTAAAAGTTGTATGCTAATATGCTATTCCAAATTCAGCAACAGTTACATTCCTAAAAGAATCAGCGTTCGTCTCATGAAGACAGTCTCCTGCCGCAACGTTGTAAGAGTCACCGAAACATCCAAACACTAGGCTGTCACACAAGTGATAACAACACTGGGACTTCCTGACATTCTATACATTAGTGGTGGGAATTTTTCTGCAGGTTACATTGTTACAAGTGACTGATTTTATAAGTGAGTCATTGAATCATTCAATTAACCGATTCATTGAAAATAATGTGTACGTTAAAAGTACCATTCCGGCAGCAAGAACGATCCTGAACTAAATGAAGATTAATGTCTTGACGTGTGATGTGTTTATTGAACCAATCAGATAAGAGTAAATGGAGAGTCAGCGAGAGCCTCATGTGATTGGCTACAAGAAGAAGGTGGACCCGCCCTCGCCCTCACGCTTGCAAAACTCAGTTGGTGAGAGAATCATGCCAAAATTGTAAGCGCAGAGAAAAGAAAGACGGAGCTGTACATATCGGTTTATTTCGGGAACTTTTTGCCCCACATGCACAATAAGTAATTTAGACATTTGCAACAGTTAGTTTTTTACACATACAGATTGGTTCTATGCAGTCGATCCGTTTTGCAGTTCTTTAAACTGTTGTTTTCGCTTGCAAATCACTGTTCACAGGCTTGCAGTACTTTTGACCGTCTTTTGGAAGAAGGAAGTGTAACACTAAATCTTAAGTGTCTAAGAGATGATTCAAGACACTTTGCTGTGCCACAAATGGGATTTTAAATGACGAACCCAATCACTGAATAGATGTACTTATTTAAGAATATTCTCAGATAAATTCACATTGAATGGTGAAATTCCTAAGAGGAGTTTACATTCAACACACAATTGACAATAAAGAATTTTCAAGAGAGTACATTATGATATACACATTGGAAATGAAAGATAAACAACTGGTGTGCTGTTAACTGACCTGCCTATATATAGCGTAGATTTTATGATATAATCAGCCACCATGGATTCCAAAAGAAAGCCGAACTGGTGGGAGAAAGAAGCACTACTGCTTGCTGAATTAGTTGAACAGCGGAAAGATGATGCCTGTCCAAATGATACCATTTGATTAACTGCTCATCGTCAAACATTTCAATATTAATTTGGTTGGTTCAATATCATTTTTGCACCCGCAATTAATATTGAAACAATGGTGGAATTTCAACAGAAAATCAATGATTATATAATTGAATGAAGTGAAGTGAAGTTATGAAGTGATGTTGGTTCAATATCACTTTTGCACCCACAGTTAATGTTGAATTAAGATTAAGATTTCAACATTGAAATTAACAAAAATAATAAATGGTAAAATGGTTGAATGAACATTACACTATGATTTTTTACATCAATGTTGAAGCACTATTGAAATTAAAAATAATTAATGGTAATGTCAGTGAGTCAATGTTACACTATGATGTTGATTCTGCATCACTGCTGTTGAATTGATATTAAAATTTGGTTAAAAAAATATAGAATTGGTAGTATCGTTTAATCAATGTTAATTTGATGTTGGTTCTAACCCACTTTTCTTGAACCATTGAAAATACAACTGAAATGTCAACATAATGTCAAAAAAATGTTGCCATTTGATGTTCCAAGGTAATGTTGAAACATTATTATTTCTGATGATTTCAAAGTTTGGGGAATGCCTTTTCAAACATCAATGACACCTTTCTAGCAGTTGAGTAAGTTTATTTTATTTCACAGTTTAACTGTCAGACTTTGTTCCATGTCTCCTGTTGTGTTTTCCTCCCACATGTGCTCCAGGTTAATGTTTATGCCCATATTTGTTTTTTCCTGTTCCTATTCCCATTTAGTTCTATTGATCCCAGGTGTGTCCCATTAGTTTATGTTTACATTAGGTGTGTTTTGCCCCTTGTTTCCGGTCCGCTGTCGAATTTCGTGTCCGTGTATCCCGGTTAGGGTTGGGTGGAGGAATGGTTGCAAGAGGAATTTTGCCTATGCTTTAAAAAAAAAATACCACAGCAAAAACAACTAGATTAATGTACATTTCAAAAATGAAAGTGTTAAAGAAAACTAAACAGTCAGTAATAAGATAGGAACAAACAAATCAATTAGCAATATCAGAAATAAACTGAACAAAATTTCCGGTAAAGAAACCGTAATTAAAAGTTTAAAAACACTGCAGAGTTTTCTTTTCATAAATAAAATATAGATTAATCAATTAAAGTTATTAAATATATTCAGTCAAGATCAGTGAATGATTTTCTTTTGTTCTTTGATTAACATTAATGACAGGCAGCGCGTTTATTAGGCTGATGTCTCTTTAACACCGAACGCACACATATCTAAAAATACTGTACATGTGTGTTTTCTTTCTCATCTGTTTACGTTCATGTAAGACAAAAACGGCTGTGTTTATGATGATATACTGACGTAGTTTTCTGCATATTGGTCGACAAATATGAAAGAAGTCAGTTTCGGCCAGGAACAACCTTTTCTACAGTGGAAATACATGGAACGGTTTGAGAACGGACACAAATCGGGAACCCATACCACGACCTCTGTTCTCTGTGCTGGCGCTTGTGCTTCGTGTGCTCTGCACGCAAACAGGGCGCAAGTTCTTTCCATTCCTGCACTTAAATAGTTTTTAATCACATTAAAATGAACGCAGGAATCGTTAAGCAGAATCGAAATGCACGTGTCTTATCGAATACCCGGTTCTTGGAAATTTGGAACCGGTTCTAAAATGGAACCGGTTTTCGATACCCAACCCTAATCCAGGTCTCTGTATTCCCAGCTTTTGTTTATTAAATCTTTGAAATTTACATTGTTCCTCGTCTCCGCATTCGTTCCTATGCTCCCAGTGTGTGTGTCGTGACAGAACAGCGGACCGAAACAGTAAGCAGCGCTCCTTCTCCCGTGTTTTGTTTTTGTTTTGAATAGTCCTTTGTTTTCTTTTGTTTCTCCTGTGTTTTCCCCGTGGTATGAGAACCGCCCTGCTGTTAAGCGTGCCGGCCGCGCCATTGTCAAGCTCGCCAGCCGCAGCTTACCTAAGCCCGCCGACCACTCCGAAGATAAGCTCGCCGGCAGCGCCGTTGTCAAGTC